TGTCCTATCTTCAGTCTACAGGTTGAACAAATGAGTTTCCAAAAATAGAAAAGAAAATTTGGCTACTACCATGCTTTTAATTGATGGGCAGAACAAAATTTGCATCCAATATAACCATCTTATTTCTATATAGAGAAAGCAGGCCATCGATATAAATTTTTCCAGTAAAAAGTGAACTGTGATACTATATCTGGAATACCCACCTACACTTCTCATTGTTAGGGTACAAGAAAATAGAATAAAGCTGTAGAAGAGGTACAAGAGAAAAAAGGGAGGATAACACTTCTTTAAGATAACTAAAAATACTAGACTCTGGAAAGGGGAGACTAGGGTGGTTGAGCGATGGCAGGGGAATTAGGGGAGTCATATCAGGTAAGCATTTTGCCTAGCACAGAGTACAACTGCAACCTCAAACGAGTTGGCAGTAACAGAACCAAATGTTAGGTTGAATAAATCACTGGTTTGACACTCACTTTCTATATCCTTTATGTTATCCTTTTGACTTTTACCTGCAGATGTTTGCAGAGAAGCCAACAGTTAAACTTCCTGCACTATTCTAGGAAGAGAAAAAATATGGTGATGCTAAGCGAGGAGAAGAGAAGTCTGATAGTGGAGGAAATAATGAGTTTTTTTTTTTTTTTGGTACAGATAAAGGGATAGAATATGAATGACTGGGGGATATTATTCATTTCCATTCAGACTAGGCAAAAAGGGAAGGTCAAATACAAGAAGTGGGCCCTATGGGCTTAGAGACACAAGAATGAATATTTTCAATGGAATAATGCCTCAAAATTACGGATACTCTGCTGGGAAAATTGTTCTTATAATGGTTAGGTCCAGTACTGCTCTGAACAAGGGATAGCCTTTCAATGACCTTTTTCAATTGATGATTAAAATTCAGTTTACCAGTTTTTTTCATTATCTCTCAAGGTATGTGTGAAATAATGATTCTACTCTAATCTGACTTGGCTCTTTTAGCCTAAGAATTTCTGTTTTACAGTGCTCTGGCCAGAGTATTTCATTTTATGATGCAAAAAGTCAAAGGAGATAGATGATTTTGATAGTCTCCTATGCAACAGACCTGCTCACTTCATTTAAATGGAAATTACATTTTCATGGAAATTCATGCCCATATTGATTAACAAAGATAAGCTACCTCTATTAAGTAGAATAGTGATACACATCCAAAAAAGTACTAAAGAACTCAATTAAATAAACAGTAAAATGGATAGTGAAAGATAATTTTTATTTATGCACACACACATTATATATATAATCTACTATATAATTATTTCATGCCAGAAAAAAAAAAAGAATATATAGATACCCTAGATATTGGGCAAATACAGTTTTCTAAGGATTTGCTGAATACTATTTGGATGGTTATAAAGTTGAAAATGCCAGAAAAAAGGTTGTGAAAGACAGGTTGAATACCTATGTTTTGAATGAATATAGTGACTTATATGAGAAAGTTAATAGCACAGTTTCTTTTATAAGTAGATACTGCTATAAGAAATGTCATGTGTTAGGTGTGATAGTATTTTCCATGCTCTTATCTTTCTTAAAAATTTAACATGGGGCCCTCCCTGGTGGCGCAGCGGGTTAAAGCACAGCACTGAGAATCTAAAGCCGCTTCCGCATGAGTTCGATTCCTGCCTGCCCCGGAGGGGACCACGTGGCGTGGCAGACCTCTCCTGGCCCGCCCGCTGCTCCCCTCAGTAGTGTACTTCGTCGATCTGCCTGTTCTGTTCCCCACTCTGTCTCTGGTGACACCTCTCGGCCGCTCCTGAACCTCTGGCCTATACCCCAGTTCTGTATGCACAAATAAATAAATCTTTTTAAAAAAAAAATTTAACATGGCTGTGTTTGAATTTAAGCAACTAAAGAAATATATAATGATTATAGATTGTTCCCAAATAAGGAACCTGAAAATTCTTCTTAAGTATCTCTTCATTAAAAACATGCAGATCTTAGAGATTTTCCTCAGCAATGAACCGTTAAGTCTTGGTACTTCACTGCTACTCTCAGCGTCTTAATCTGACATAAATATTTTTCATCTCATAATCATCAAGCCCTGATCTACACTGCCATTTTGTATCATTTAATTACAAATTCAAGGGAAATAGTTAATGACACAGATGATGAGAAAATGAAGGTGAGAAAATCAACTAGGTAAAGAAAAATACAGGCTAGGAGACAATCTACTGTGAAAAGTTGGACAAGTAAAAAAAAAAACAAAAGTTGGGCAAGTAGCCAGCTGTGCAATTATATCTCAGACATTATATTACTCTCTTAAGTTATCATTGGTTTAACAGAACAATGCTGTTTCCATACTGCTGCTATGGAAATGACCACATATTCCACTAGCTTTTGGAATATGACCTAATGGGCTCAGTTGGAAGAACAACATGAGACAGAGTCACGAAGAGCAAAGTTAAAATAGCTTTATCTCATAAAGCATCTTTCTGCTTATGATTTTTCTAAACATGGGCAGTAACAGGAGGCTTTAACATATTGTCTGAAATTTGAAATAGTCAACGATGAATAAATATAAAAAGGAGACAATGATGTAAATGGATGACTATATATAGACTGTTTTTGGCAAACGAGAGGAATACCATTAAACATGTTATATTTTAGACAGAAAAGGGATATGATATTAAAATATCAGCATTAATAGTTATTGCTTGCTTTGATAGTAACTGTTATACTTTTGGGGGGACAAATTATATTTTCATTGAAAAAAATCCCCAACACTAAAGAAAAAATTAATTTCCTTTGTTTTTCAGATACCTGATTTTATCTCTTGACATTATGATTGCAGACATGGACATTTAATATATGCACAAAGGGCTTCAGTAGAAAATTTTCTACTATATCTTCTTAAGTACTGAACATTGACGTATAAAATGACATATCACTTTCTCCAACGCTAGAAAAATTGCCAAATCTAGGTGCAGTGGGATTAACCAACCTTCTCTCTGCCCTGTCCCACATTGTCTTAATAAACTAAAAGAATATAATGCATTCATTCAATTTCAATCATGTTTTAATGTCTGTTAACCTGCTATATGTTCAACAGGATAGGATAAAAAAAAAACCCGGTGTCATTCCAGGTACCTAATCTTATAAGATAGCCTCTTTGGCTGAAAGCATCAGGAATAAATATATAGGGCCCGTGTGTCAGCTTTCAGAGGTAAACCTGGCTAAATAGTTGAGATGATCCACTGTGAGTGGGAAACAACTGATATCAGGAAGGCTTCTCTACAAATATCACTGGATTTCTTGAATTACTTCTTGTTCTTTCTGTTACCTGGGAAATATTCATCTTGGATTCTATGAAGAATCTTGATTTTAGAAAGGTTCAACTGTTTATTTAATGCTCTGTTGTTAATATCTTGGAAGTCATAATAATATTTTAACAAGGTGCTATACATTTTCATTTTCTAGTGGTGCCTGTGAGTTACGTATAAAATGACATATCACTTTCTCCAAGGCTAGAAAAATTGCCAAATCTAGGGTGCAGTGGGATTAACCAACTTCCTCTCTGCCCTCTCCCCCATTGTCTTATAAAATGAACTGGTTCTACATAAAAGGTCTTGGAAAGAGACAAAAGATGGTCTGTTACTTCTTTTTGCTCTCTGCAAAGACTTGAAATCTAATGGTCACGGCCAGTGTTTGACTAATCCTCCTTTCCCCCACAATCTAGTCTCCCTTCTCTACTAAGTAATACACTTTCCCTCCTCTCAGCGAGAGATAATATTTCCAGACTCTCTTGCATTTAAATATGTCAATATGGTGGTTGTAAATGTGATGATTTTCAATGTCCAGTTTAGTTTCTTAAAGACAAAGTGAAAAATACTGAATTCTTTCTAATTCTTTCCAATTCTCCCCATTAGAGGATGGAAGACAGGTGTGCTGATAAGTAAGCTATGAACATTCAGGGGAGGATGGTATGTGACGATAAGGTAGGAGAAGAGTAGAAGAATTTCCATCCTTAAGAACTTCTGAATGAAAACAACTCTGCCAACATAGACTACTCATCTTGGGTCAGAGACTTGAAAGAGGACTCAATCTTATCAGCCTAGTTTCTGCTCTAAGCATGGGTCAGAGAAGTAGAAAGAGGACTTAATCTTATCAGTTTAGCTTCTGCCCGAAGCAATATACAGAATATATTCTTGGGGACTGTTTCAGTGAAACTTTGTATTTATGTAGAACAGCTTAATAAAACAGTGTTCTGAATATCTGAACACCGTACACAGAAATATCAGTTGATTTGCACTAAAATTATACAAAACTATATTGAATCTATTTTTTTTAAGATTTTATTTATTCATACAGAACTGGGGTACAGGCCAGAGATGCGGAGGGTGAGAGGATTCACCAGAGACAGAGCAGGGAGCAGAGCAGGCAGATCTACGAAGTACAATGCTGAAGGGAGCAGCGGGCGGGTCAGGAGAGGTCTGCCGCGCCACGTGGTCACCTCCCGGACAGGTGGGAATCGAACTCATGCGGAAGTGGCTTAAGCTTTTTAGTGCTGTGCTTTAACCCGCTGTGCCACCAGGGAGGGCCCTGAATCTAATTTTATCTATAATGATTCTCAAACTACTTCTGGATCTTGCAGTACCTCAAGGTCAACATATTAATACAAATTATAGATTATTTCTATAAATGTTGGGGCTTGAGTAAATCCTTAATAACCTATGACAAATTCCTGAAGTTGCACTTTCAAAATAAATTCCCGAATCAGTCTATTTTCACTGTAATTTATTTTCATACTGAAAAGAGGCTATGACTGGAAAAAATAGCCTTTGTGAAATTTCTCACTGATTTGGAAGCTGATTACAGGTATTTAAAGTACCTTAAAAAGAATATATAGTTTCTCATTTTTTAAAATTTTTCACTGACTAAAACTGCTAAGATTTAAAATATTATTTTAATAAACCAGTTACAAAATCATTAAGGGATCATATCTTTAAAAGTATAGCATTCATATTTACCTGCCCCAATGACTCTCTCAATTCGAATTCTTGAGGGATCAATTTCTTTCGCAAATTCATGGACTGCTAGGGATGGATCTTCATATGTATCTGGATCTATGTAAGTTTTAATTCCTGGGAAACGTACTGCAACAAAACAAAATGCATTTAGTTTAAATGTATTTCAGTGATCACACATCCTGTGAATATAGAGTGACATACTGAAGGCGTCATTTTGTTTATTACCTTCTTTCTATTTCTGTCCCTCTCTCCATAAACGATTCCCCAAATGAAGTTCTGAATACTTAAAATCCAAATTTCACTTATGAAACTGTTCATGTAAAATGACTTACTAGTTTCATAAAGAGTAAATATGCTTTATTATATTTCTGTAAACAGTTTAACCAGTCTACTCAGCTATTAATAAACACAAATTTCACATAGATCTAGGGTGTGGTCAGTCATAGGGGAAATGAGGCATTAGCCTTCCCCTGAGACAAGTAAGCCCTTTATAGGGTGCAACTTCTGGACCCTTTGTACTCTAAGACACAGGTTTTCCTGAACTACTGCTTCAGGTTTGGACTTCGAGAAACTTCCAAGCAGTAAAGAGACACCAGACAGAGAAGATGACTGTGCACAATAGCCCCTTCCTGTGTTTTATAAAGCTTCAAAGGTCAGAAGACTCATGATCCTGGAAAGGACCCATTATCTGCCTTGGAAGAGAGATCGGAGTCAGAGGCTCCATTCCAAGCCAGTTAGGTTCCAGATAGGTTCATCATGTTCACCATCAGTTCTAACAGTTTAAAAGAGAACTCTTGAGCCCTTAGCATCATCTTCACGGTTTTAGTAAAGAGCGGAAATAAACCAGCAGAGAAACAGCAAAGTGAGCCCCCTCCCCCAGGGTGATGCTGCCTTTTTATCGCCTCCCTTCTAGGCACAGGTGTGCACACTTGCATATGTGCACACACACACCCATGCTCCAGGTGTCCACAGTCAGGCACGTGCATCTCATGCACACACCTCCTTTGCATTAACACAACACAATCAAGGCCACAGGTGATAGCCAGAATGGCTAGTGGAGTAAAAGCCCAATTAACTCTTTTACCCTACAGAGGCCCATATCAGCCCATTGACTATGTGGTGGCTACCCTTTCTCTGGTAAGACAGGGATGCTCACAGTCCAGGGGCAGTTAGGATGAGGAATATATATTAGTAGGGGTTGGAATAGGAATTAGTAGGGACGAAAATATCAGTGCTGGGCTCTCCCTGGTGGCACAACGGGTTAAGGCACACAACTAAGAAGCTAAAGCCACTTCAGCATGAGTTGATCCTTGCTCCCAGAGACAAACCACTTGGTGCCTCAGACCTCTCCTTACCCTCCCACTGCTCCCCTCAACAGTGTACTTTTTCAATCCACCTGTTCTGCTCCCCATTCTGTCTCTGGTAAATCCTCTCACCCACCACTCCTGTGACCTGTACCCCAGTTCTGTAAGCATAAATAAATCTTCAAAAAAAAAATCAGTGCCACATTTGTACTGGTAGCTGATACTTAGTTTTATTATTTCTTAGATTTTGAAAGTTATATAGCACTCAAAATGAAGTGTTTCTAGGTCTTTTTAAAAACATGCTCTTGGGAGAAAATCTCAAAAGCAAACAAACAAGATAATAAAGGGAGTTTAGTGTAGGCGATGATAAACCCATTATTAGCATGAATTCTTTTATGCCTGTTGCCTTCTTTTAATACTTTTTGCCACTGTTTTCTAGTACTGGATATGCACTCATGACAAGATGGGTATTTTATTCCTAAAACAGCACCAGTTAAAGTATATTTCCAGGTATATTTATGCCTGATAATGATTCTTCAATGCTATGCTTTTCTTGACTTCACAAAGTTTAGACTAGAGAAAAGGAAAACAGATTAGCTGTACTTCTAGTTCATATCCATTGGTAACTTGGGAGGCATTGTAACTTCAGATGAGATTAGGTGAGTTCAGGGTAGCATGGCCTTGGATGGAAAGTTATAATTTTAGAATGACTTCTATAAACACAAACCCAGTAGCTCCTATTAGACAATCAGTGTTATCTAATTGAATATATGGTTCTGTTGATAATATCACTTTAGGACAGTTAACAGCTATCATTTATTATCTCACATATGTTATTCACAACTCAACTATTCAATCACTAAAAGTAACTCATATTTCTATATGTATGTATCACATCCATAGTACATGTATATACCACACATATATATCACACACATATATCACAGACATAATACATGTGTATGGTATGTATTATTGGTTAGTATCACTTTTTTCTTGAAATGCAATATATGTTGTATAAGAATAGAAACCCAAACTTAGTTCTGATTTTGAATATCTGGTTACTTAATTAATTTATTCATGTTTTTTAAACATGAATTTAAATTGGTTTAACTGCCTTCCACCTCCTTGAATGTCTTGGTTACTTTTATTACTTCCTGCTGAGTCCACTTGGTTTAGTTTATGCTAAACTACTTGTTGGAGAATAAATTTAAAAATATCTCAGAGACATCTTTTCTTACTTATTCGGTAGTAAATGCAATCTAGTGGGCTTAAGGTTGCTCAGCATAAGTTTTCTGTCCAGGTATCTGGATTCAGGTTTTTTCATTATTATATCCTTTCCAGTTCATGTCAGGCCAATGAGACAGGCATTGGTCCTCTCAGCAGTGACCCACAAACTCCCTATACAAAAGAACTACCTGGGAAAGCTTGCAAAAATGCATCTACTTGGAACCCATCTTGACATTGAGTCATATCTTCAATAAACAAGAGTGGAATTGTCTGATGCAATAGTTCTAAGACCAGCAGATAAGAAATCACAGGAGCCTTAGAAACACTCCTAAAGTATGCTTTTAATTTACAATTTTCTCACTCGAACCCTTTCTTGTGAACAGTAGTATGGATGAAAACTCCCTTATTTCCTTTGCTCAGGTTGACGTAGAGGATGAGTTTAAATTAGTTAAACTACTTGCTTCACATATTAGCTCTATACCGCAGTTAATTAGAGAACATCCTTTTCTTGTCAATTCAGTGTCTCACGAGAAAAAACTGTCCTGACAAAGTAGTCTGCCATTTAAAGGTGGAGGCAGAGGTGGGTGTTGGGGAGAAGAGGGTGGCAATTATCAAACCAACTATAGTGGTAATTATAGCTTGTTTGGGAAGAGATACTTCAAATGAATATAACCTTGTAGTCATCTCAAGGATTTCATACATATTCTAATAGTTAAAGAGCTGATTTTCTTTTTTAGTATTAATGAATTGTAAATTAATTTGTTATATGTTTTAATGACAATTCCTACAAGTAAAATCAGGATTTCTTCATATTTTTATACCTGTTGCCACACTAAGTAAAACCAACCACGTTCTGGAGTCCTTGTAAGTGGTAAATAAGTAAATAATCAGTCATCTTGTATTTTTAGCATAACCAGTCTGTTTACCAGCAAGCAGAATTAGGAAAAAAGTAATGTCATATAATGAGAAACAGATGCAATCTCCATCAACAAACCTGGAAACCAGATGAAAAAACTTAATGCTGAAAGGCTGGAAGGGAAATTTTTTTTGTGACTTTCTCAACTCAATGGATACAAGTTTAAAACAAACTTTTGCAGTGGTAGAACAATATAAAATATGAGTCACTACTCTACTTACACTGTCCATTTTGCAAGTGATTTCTTCTCTTCTCTTCTGACTTCATTTTGGCCTTTATGTACCATTGGCACCTTTCAAAAGGTAAACAAAATCTTATATTTAGACTCAGGCTGTATGAAAGCCAAACCACTTAACCACATACCACCTGTGACAAAGTTCTTATAATGATCATTCTAACAGCCTCTTTATAACATGGGAAAATACTCACAGAAAGTGTTTAGTGCACATCAAATTGGCCCCAGATAAGAATAAAATGTTCTCAAGGGGATAGGTTTATCCAAATGTTATGTATCTGAGAAAATTATTGGTAATGAGCAATAAACATCATACTTTTTCTTATATGACTCTAGTAGGAAGAGTTGGTGAAAAGGTGTTGAGTCAGAATCTCAGAATTTTTAACTGTGCTTTAGTTTTAATGATAATGAGCATGATTTTCTTTTTATTTTGGAAAACTGATTGAAGCATGTTCTGTTCTCTCTCAGGATAATTGTGCTCTGAAGAACATGGCAGGTGCTTGTCTCCTCTGACTTATTCAACATGAACAAATTTATCAACATCCATATGACTTGACAGTTCATCAAACTGCTAATACCAAATGGTTAAACAGAATACATTTGTGGTACACAAACCAGTCTTTCAATGTGAATTTTGTCTTAAATCCTATGGGAAACTAGTATTAATTCAGAAATGTCTTAATTTTTCACAGAATAATTTCCAATGAATGCTCCCCTACTAAAATGTTTGAGACTCTTGAAAAGGATTTTTTAATACCCTGTGATATTGAAATTAATTACATGTAGAATGTTAAAAGTTCCTGATATCTTACATATTAGCAAACATAGAAAGTGAAAGCTGAAAGTTATACAAGCTTTTCTTCATCATTAAGCTATCTTTCTGAGTGGTATTCAAATTCTGCTCCCAGAATCCTAAATAAGGTTTCTTTTTTAAAAAAACTGGCGATAAATGCCAATGATATTTAAAATAAACTATACTTAAGGAAGTTCCCCAAAATTCTTCAAAGGAACTTTCAAAGAAGAAAAATCTTTCTGAATCAGATTACCACTATATAAACCAATTAAATAATCAAAATACATAATTTGTCTGTGGAATTAAGATCACCGTATAGGACCTCATAGTACTCTATAACTAAATTATCTTTCAAGGTTCTGTACTGATCGTCTCTAAATTATGCGCAAACCTTTAATCAAAAGTGTATTATCATGATACTAATGCTTCCAAGTTCAGAATGCCCAGGCAGTAATTTATTATAAATGACAAGGAAAACACAGTAGGGTCTATCTTTCTATTTAACATTTTCTCTAATAAGGGTTAGTTAAGTGTTGGTGTATTCACTTACTGAACCTCACAAATTTGACATTGTGACTCAGTATGTTTCACTAAATTTTTTTTCTCTTCCACTCTTAAATCTTTAACCCCAGATTTAAATTTCTTTTATACTTTCCTTTCCTAGCTATCATTGCTTATTTATCTTTTTTTTTTTTTTTGGTCAATCTCAGGTAACATTATTGACTTTTTTTCTATTTATTAGATAAGCTTAAAACTTTATCAGATGTAAAGTGATCTTAAATAAGTAGTCATCCTCTTCGAATGATTAAGCTTGGTATGTCATGTTTAATATTTCTAAGTTATGGTATTGGATATTTTGTTTTCAACCTAATGGCTAAATGCTTTGGAAATACAAAATTTGTTTTCCATTCACTCTAAAAGATGGTTGTATCGAAGCTATTATGATAGCCAGAAGATGTCAAAACTTCGTTCTAGGTGTAAAAGGTATACAGGGAGAGAGAAATAGGAGATGCTGAGCCAATATCTGATAGTGGCATCAAGATATGCCCAAGCAAATGCATATTACCAGGGTTAATTTACCATTATTTTCTGTATACCAATATGTAGTTCTTTCTTATCACTATAGTCAGCATTCTCTATCAGTCAATTTTCCAAAACAGGAGGCTCTGAGACATACTTAACTAATAGCAGCAATGCCATCCCTGTTTATATATACGAAATGTTAAGAAAGTGTAGGGATAAAACTATTCTTTTTGCAATATATCATAAAGAATCATCATTTCAAAGAAGTCCTATTCATTTAATATCAGGAATATTAAAATATTCCTGTTTCTTTATTGCTTGATAAATTCTATAAAAATGGATTTGTTACAACTGAATCAATACATCTTTATAGGTAGCAGTTACCTTTTATTGAGGACCTATATTTCAGAAATGTAAGCATTGTCAATTTATTAACTTATTCCTTTAGTTATCAAAATCGTAGGTAACTTTTCATACAGTTTAATATATGATAACCCCCCTCCCCCCAAAAAAAGCCACTGTTTATAGTTTACAGCCCCAGAAGGTAGCTATTTGTTATCACTGTTCATTTTCAGATATCAGGGTAAAGGTGTTGGACTGTAGCTGGAGTCAGCACAGATTTGTAATGTTTGGGCATTTTATTGCAGTTTTAAATCATAACATTGGTATTTTGCTGTATGTGCTTGTTTCAGATTATCAAGAAAAATATTGAGGTATTTGAGCTCTTACTGACAATCTAGAAAAAGTAATTTTCCCCTTAAGGAATAAAAATATGACCTGAAGATATATATAATTTCAGATAGTGAATGGGTCAAACATCAAGGGTAAAGTAATAAAGAATTCTTATTTGTTTAAATACGTATTATTTTCTTACATCACTGCAGTGCCAGTACCTGGCATTAGTACCTCGATCATGGTAAAAATTCAATATACTTAAAAAATAACAAAAGGTGTTAATATATTTTCATACCAAATCTGTGTAAAAAGAGAAAGCCAAGGTTTAGCTGGGTATAGTATTTTGACCAGTTTATAAACATTTATATTTAGGTCTTCTGGTAGGTTAAACTTTCATTTGTATTATTCAAAGTGGAGATATAATTCAATTTTTAATTTTTTTGAACTAATAAAATGCAAAATATCCCCTTTTAACAACTAATGGATAAAAATTACGTATTTCTAAAACACTAAGTTTATAAAGACCCACTACATAAATTGTTCAGTCTATTTGTTAAATATTATTCCCCAAGATAAATCCCTTTCTTGTTTTTAATTTGATTACTGTAAAGGAAAAACTCATACATAACTTTGTGAGTAGAATTTATTATACTTAGCTTTCAACTTTGCTTTACCAAGTGTTTAGCTGATCCCACATTCATTGACCTGTTGATACAGAGCATCAGCCAACCATGGTGTGTTCACTGACCTATAAAGCTCATGTCTAAGCAATCACCCCGAGCCATTTTCAATGAGCTGTGTGCGTTTTGTCCCATTTGAAAGCACTTGACTCCACAGTATATAAAAAGAGTAATTAATCACAAATCTTGTAACTCATTTATATGTTTTGGTTACCTCCCAGTGATTAAGAAGAATAAAGTAAGAATGACGAGGAGCGTGAATCCCCCAACAGCCGCGGTAGCTATCACGAGAATCTGCCCCTGTTCTGCCGCCATGTCCGAAGCTGAAACAGAGATACAATATTAAAATTTCCCTGGGTGACATTTCATTACCTAAATTATATTATAATTTAGTATGTGCCTGAAAAATACAGTGATGAAATCCAGTAAAATTCATATTACATGTGCCCTTTATTTTCTCTGTAGAATGCAAACTCACAATAAGGTCATAGACGAGGTGACTGGGGTCATAACCCACAGCATAAATGTAACTTCAAAAACACATATGAACTCTTTGTACCCTACCTTTTAAGATTATGCATATGTTGTTAAAATAACTGAGGGAGCAAAGAAACTTGTTTCTATAATTGATTTATTTATTAACTTAAACTATTTATTTAAGTTATTTATTTCCTTAAACTATTTGTCCAAAAGACTAGGATGTTTTGGTATGTTACTACAAAGTAGAAAGACTACAGTGTTATTTTAAGAATGATCATCTTTGGGCCCTCCCTGGTGGTGCAGCTGGTTAAAGCACAGCACTAAGAAGCTAAAGCCTCTTCGGCATGAGTTCAATCCCCACCCGGGAAGTGACCCAAATGGCGGAGCGGAACCTCTCCTGAC